TCTCACCCCAGGTAAATTCTTTGTCGTCCAATCAGGCTGCTCCCCTTGCGAAGAATGTAACAATTCGTGCATGCAATATATGTATTAAGTATTTCTTTATTTCTCCACCTATAACAAGTCACAAAGTATTCCCCTTTCTATGTAAATCATGTATGCATTTAAAAGCTTATAAGCCTAACAGGGAGGGCGTAATACTTGGAAATAAATTAAACTTTGGATTCCTGACAGTATGCTTTGTTGAGTAAAATTGTCCCACAACTACTTTATTCACAAGCAGTACATAAGCCGCACACAAAATACAACATGATCATAAGCAATACAAAGTTACATTTGTCCAAAGTAAATCCTGAGCTGAGACCATGACAACATAAGAGTTCCCCTGAAAAAGTTTGTTTTCCAGATAACTTAGTAAAACATTAATCAAAACACAATGGGTAAAACGTATTATTAAAAAGTAGATCCAACTCTAGATATAACACTCGTTGACTGATATGGCAGGAAATGTTGAATATCACATATAACGCACAAATATTGTAACATCCTAACTGATATCACGTGCTATCTTCACTGGAATTAGTTGATTCATGATGCTAAAAGTGTGCTTGAAAACTTTATTTTAGATAGAGATGCAGGTTCGTGGGCACTTGGGAATGACATTTTTTTTTGCTTTTTATTATCCAAACAGTCTTGGCTATAGACTGTTAAAATTTTGTAGAATTGTGAATAGTGGAACATACTCAAAAAACGATTTTAAAATATAGATAACAGGTGCAAACATTCTCTCTTTTGAATGCTAAGCAAGATTTAGCAAAGATGTACATAGATAATAAAAAAGAAACATGGCAAAAAAAAATGACGGGATCTCCATATTATGCACTGTATTTAACTATTAACAAAACGATAATACATTTAAATTTGGAACTGTTACAGCCATTTTAATTATGAGCATTAGCAAACTTCTTAATGAGTGAATTGTTATGCAAATTAGTAATTATCTCAGCTTCTTTTTAGTGCACATCCCAGAACTTTAAAGCGCGGTAGTCGAGATATATGGGTCTCATATAAACAAAGATGGCGACTTTGACTGTTGCGCAGATCAACGAGTACGAACTGACACGTTTCCAAGCTGTAATTAAGTAATTTTCATGTGATTGGAAGGTATCGAAGGAGTCACCGGCGGTAGTCAATGCAAGTCGCGCCCAGGTCAAACCTCATACTTGTGATTTCCATTTGAAGAGCGCATTGGTTTGTGGGAAAATCAATGTTTATCAACACAAATGTCGAACATGCGCAGCGCGACCGCGCTTTAAAAAACCTAGCTCCTCGACGCTTTGACCCTTTGTTTTGAAATTTTCACAAATGATTGACAATGTGTTTATCTTCAAAACGCCGTCGGGCAGTGTTTTTCGTTGAACAACTAGCATGGGTGTTAATTTATGCATAAACTTGAAATAGTGAAATTTGAGCTGCTGCCCTGCAAAATTGACAACTGGCAGACAGTTTTCAAGACTGCACTTTCTTCATATTAAACAGATGTACCCATAAACCAATTTTGACAGGAAACAAAAGCATGGTTTAGAAGGTATTTTTTTAAAATCACTTTTGACCAAAAAAGCACATTTTTGTGCACATTTCAAACTACAGTGTCCATAAGTCATTTCCTGTCAGCTTGGGGTGTATTCTACTGATTTCCTGTTGACTCAGGGGGTTCTGCCTTTAATTAGATGCAAGAGCCAAGAAGGTGTGAATTAAGAACTTAATCCATTGTTTTCAAGGGTCCAGCCCAGTCCTTTGTTATTATGTGTGGTTCTTTGTTTTCGTAACCCAAGCTG